AATAGGTTAGATAAATACATGAGTGGGTGTGGGTGGGTGTGAGTTGAACCTGACTAGCTTGTGCTACTAGGTCTGATGTCATGCTCCTTCCTTCAATTGACGTGACCTGACTAGGTTGGTCATTGGTCTAAGCCAGGGGGGAGAGGGTGACATGTACCTGCCTTGCAATAGCCAGTAGGCCTGCTGCAGTGTTCCTTCTTTCTTATGTTATGTATTCAGCAGGCTGACCGGCTGTCTTGCTTTGGCTGTCTCTGGCTATCTTTCTGTCTTTATCTCTGTCTGTCTATATCTCTGTCTATCTATATCCCTGTCTATCTATATATTTGTCTATCTATATCTCTGTCTATCTATATCTCTGTCTCAAAGTACACATAAGTACAGTTATTATACATGGTGTAAGTTACCTAGGATAATCCAAAAATTCCAGGCAAAGATAGACAGATAGACAGAAGCATCTTTGTGTGTATCAGTGAAAACAAATAAAGCCAGGGTTCCCCCGAGCACTCATCTATCAAATGTCACCGAGCTGATAATAGATGTCATAACACGATTCTTCAAGGAGTGTGATATACATGTACTCCAGGCAGACAGAAAGTCAGATAAGCAGAGACAGACAGACAAACAGGCAGGCAGATAGACAGACAGATACAGATAGACAGATAGATGGGCAGACAGACAGGCAGACAGACAGGCAGATAGACAGACAGACAGGCAGAGAAATAGACAGAGAGACAAGACATGTTTGTGTGTAACAGTGATAACAAATACAGCGAGGGTTAGCTGCAGCAGTGGGCATTTATTAAATGTCACTAGGCTGTCAACAGCATAGATATGCCTTTTATAACAACATGCTTCAAGATATATGCCAGGTTATCTAATACATTGCTGGAACCTATAAATACTCTGTATATATTTCTAGACAATAGTAAATAACCCAGGCAGGTGTAAATGTTCACCTGTCAATGTGACTATGACTAATTGAGCACTATTTCAGTACCTAATATTAGTGTCAGAACAAAGATTGGCTATGAAATTACAAGAACTATTATAAATTGTAATTATCAGAACATAAATTAAATTAAATAAAATTAAAATAAAATGAGAAAAAAGGTATATCGGCAACTCTTCTGCAAGCGGAAGGAGTCGATGTTGCTGACAGGTGAGCATCCAGAACCAACTTCATGGTCTTATATCTCAGTAAGTACTGACCCTAAAAAAATTTTTTATCTTATAACACATAGAAAAATGTGCTCTTCATTTTAAAAGAAAAAAATAATTTTTTCATTTTTCAAAATATTCGGAGCACCACACGAGTGAACGTAGATCTACATTTGGACAGTTTAAGGGTTAAAATGAACTCATCAGACATACCATGCCCAAATCTGCTTTTCTATTAAGTAGTGTTTCTTATAAATTTTAATATCAACCAGTTTAGCATGATAGACGAAGAGATATTGTTTATATACCACATGGTATTCAGCCTGGGTGGTCACATAAGAGCAAATAGTGAGCACCAGCTACCCTCTCTGATTACATAAGAATGAATTTTTAATGCATACAGTGAATTTTTCATAGATATAGAGTTGCTGTATATAACTTTGTCCGAATTCACAAAGTGGATTTGCATGAAAATCTTCTTAAAGTAAAGGAAACCTACATTATGATATTGTTGATAAGAGGTATTCCTCAATTTATCTTGTAGATACATTCCAGGCACATGTACTAAGCTCCGTCAGACCATACACACTTGATTCTATAAAATAAGAAACTTCAGTACAGTGGATCCTTGGGTAACAATGCCATCAGATAGCGATAAAATCGGATATCGATGCGTCTTTGCGTAAAAATATTGGCTCGACCAACGATGAAAAACTCGGTTAGGGACATTCGGCCCGAACATGTCCACATGGGGCCTTGGCTGCCCGCGGCTGCCTGACCACTAAGTACAGCCAGTGTACCATTGTTTACAAGCCAGGGTGGATGGTTCTACGCATACATGCGAAACATTTTTTATTCCATTGTTTTTACTGCTTATAACTGCTAAATAAGCCACCATGGGCCCAAAGAAAACTTCTAGTGCCAACCCTGTGGTAAAAAGGGTGAGAAATACTATCGAATTGAAGAAAGAGAGAATCACAAAGTATGAAAGTGGAGTGCATGCCTCCGAGCTGGTCCGGTTGTATAACAAACCCCAGTTAACCATCACTACTATCTTGGCCAACAGAAAGGCAATCAAGGAAGCTGTTGTTGCAAAAGGTGCAAGTATGCTTACAAAACAGAGATCGCAAATATACTCAAAGATGTGGAGAGACTGTTATTGGTGTGGATCAATGACAAACAATTATCAGGAGAGTGTTTCAAGGTCAGTCATATGTGAAAAGGCAAGGCAGTTGCATGCGGATCTCATTAAGAAAATGCCTGGAGCTAGTGCTGAATTTAATGCCAGCAAAGGTTGGTTTGAGAGATTTAAGAATTGTAGTGGCATACACAGTGTGATAAGGCATGGTGAGGCTGCCAGTTCTGACTAAAAAGCGGCTGAAAAATATGTGCAGGACTTAAAGGGATACATAGAGGCTGAAAAATTAAAACCCCAACAAGTGTTCAATTGTGACAAAACAGGCCTGTTTTGGAAGAAAATGCCAAACAGGACGTACATTACTCATGAGGAAAAGGACTTGCTACCTAAAGTCCTTATGGAAGATTTCCCTTCCAAACAATAATACACCTCCATCATCTCCCCTCCTCCCATCTCATTACTCATCAATAAATGTTCAATAAAGGTAAGTGTCATTTATTCATGTATTTATTTCTTCATCTCCATGGGGAAGTGGAGCAGAATTCTTCCTCCGTAAGCCATGCGTGTCGTAAGAGGCGACTAAAATGCTGGGAGGAAGGGGCTAGTAACCCCTTCTCCTGTATAAATTATTAAATTTAAAAAGAGAAACTTTTTGTTTTTCTTTTTGGGCCACCCTGCCTCGGTGGGATACGGCCGGTTTGTTGAAAAAAAAAAAAATAATTCATGTCTCATTGTTTTCTGTGTAGGAAAATGTATATTTCATGTGAAATTTTTTTTTTTAAATACTTTTGGGTATCTGGAACGGATTAATTGGATTTCCATTATTTCTTATGGGGAAAACTAAATCGGATAATGATAAAATCGGTTAACCCTTTGTTGCGCAGCCTCAAAAATTTTCTAGCTTAAACACGTGCAAGTTTGCGCGTGTCATCCTACACGTGCCACGCATCTGGATTCCCGTTCTTTAATTCTAACCAATCACAAGGCTTCCCTGAGTTGCTTCAGCTAAGTGGTGATGGCACTTGGCGGCTTCCCATTGGTTGAGAGAACAAAATATAAACACGTGTGGCTAGGCGTTGCCCAGAATGGGTTTTTTCCATCCAGTGTCACTAATATTCTTGGATTTTACCCTCTACAATGTTGGTAAGTACTGATTGTTGTGTTTAGTCCATAGATGGATTGTTTAGGCATATTTTGATATATACATAAAGTCCATGTGAAGCATAATGTGAGTGTAGCATGCAGTTGAAAAAAGTGCAACAAAGGAAGCGCAAAAAATTTTCTTTGCTGCCCTTTTAGTGACATAGTTCACTTTCAGTAAAATAAATATTTATAAAAAATTTCTTTTGCATATATGAATTCTGTAGTGGTCTAGATCTATACAGAAGGTTTTTATTGTCCTTCCAGATCAATGAGAAATTGTTTTATGGGGAGCTCTCCAGCACCAGGTCAAAATATGTCTGCATTTTGGAGGACAGTGACTCAGAACCAGAGGTAGATGAATCAGAATTGCTGGATGAATACTTGCCACCGGAAGCAGAGGTGTCAAGTGATGAGGAGGAAGAAAGGCCAACCAAAAAGCAGAAATTAGTGAAGAAAAAGAAAGGTATTATGATCGAGGAGTACCCTAATGAGGAACATATTTATGATGATATTGCTCTTCAAGGTCAATTTCATTGGTCCCAGGTTGACCTCCAAAATTATCCTTTGCCGGCATATGAACATGAACTATCAATTAGCATTATAGAATAATTGCTCCTCATGAATCTCAGGAATATGGGACTTGAAAGTTTTATCCCTTTGCAATGTGTCCATGTTGCTATTTGTTTCATTTTTATATTTTTCTAATACTTACAAAATGTTTTGATACAAATTCCATTTATGTTTTTTATATTGTCTGTTTGTATAATAAATTTAAAAAATAGTTATTGGGTGTTTTATTAACAATTGCAAGTTTGCAAAAATTTTTGACTTTTGAAGATTAGCAATTGCTTGAAAACTAACCATCAGAATTCCATTTATATGGCCTCATTTAACTTATATTGAGATACTCTATCCACTCTAGGGAGTTCTGTTTGAATTTCTAATTTTATGGCCATATGCCCGACAAAGGGTTAAGGAACAAACTCTCTGGAACAGATTAAAATTGTTACCCAAGGGTCCACTGTACTTTGCAAATTGCACTGATCACATACAGTGAATGTATGCTAAATTTATAGAATTAGTGATAGCCAAGGACTATTGCACAAGAGCAAATTTACATACATTGAACCCAAATAGAGCAAGAGAAACCTGCACAGGCAGGCCACAGTTTACAGCACTTCACAGCATTTTGCTAATACAGCAGTTTTCAGTTATACCTATTTTTCTATTATTCAGACTTCCTACAAAATATATTCACCACTCATTGTAAGCTAAGGATGAAAATATTTTAAGTAACGTGTGTACTGTGTATATGCATTTTTTGACCTAGCTATATTGCTCACTTAATATGTGATAGTGTAAACATGTTATCAGGCTTTTATATGTACTGAAAGTGAAAAAAGACTATGACTCACTTTACAGTGGTTTTCACTTTACAACAGTGGCCTGGAACCTAACCTGCTGTATAAGCAGGTCCTGCCTGTACTTGTAAACTTGCTATGAATACCTCTATATGAACTTTATACTCTACTTAAGTCTTATACAGTTTTTATTCTATTAGAAACCAGTCGTTGACTTCAAACATGCCTTAAACCAATGGCTGGAGGCAGCTCTTAGTTATTCAACAAGTGAACATAGCAGTGATTCTCGTTTGATGGTTGCTGAAGGAATATCAAGCATAATGCCTTTCTTTTCTTCTCATCCAAGTATATCAGGTAAGTGCTCTTGAGAAGCTGTTGTTATACTTGTGTGTACTGTGTTTTGAAGGTAACATTTATCTAACAAATTCTCCTTTAAATATTGTACGACTGTTTCTTGTATGACTATGTCCTTCCACTTCACATTGGCTGGCAGTCATATCCAACAAATGTGGTGGAGAGGTGCTTCGTGCAGAGTAGCTTTTATTATTAGCAGCTATTTGATTGCTTAGTGTTTCCACCTAATATACCTCATCACATCCTGTCCTGTCTGCTATTCACGTGTTCCCAAATTACTGGTGGTGACTACTCACATTTACTCATAGGTTGTCATGGGAGTGACTTTCTGTCAATCTTGCTATCTATTCTATTATTTTTCTGTCAATATTTTCAGTGTCCTTGGCCCCGTGATTGACCTTAATTCACATTATCGTGTGTATAAATCCCTTACATTCATTTTAAGATTGCCTTAAATCACTAAACATTTGATACTGTTTTTTGACAGTAAGAAGGAATACCCTATATTAAAAATAATAGTGTCACTGGGGATGTGGAATGAGACAGTAATGTAAGAGTTGGTGGCAGCTGATACAACAATGTTACAGAAGTACTGGTTGTAAAATCTGTTGCTGAATTGTACAGTATTGGGCTTGCCACACACATAGATCATGGTTTTAATACCCATCCATTCTTCTGTTTATTCATGAAGAAGGGATAAAGATGTTGCTGTTCGGATGTCTTCATTCTTCTGACAAGACAGCAGTTGAATGAATGGTGGTAAATGTTTCCTCTTTTTTTTGGGGGGGGGGTCACCCTACCACAGTGACATATATCAGTGCCTAATAATATATTTCTTTCCTTCAGAGGGTACCATACTTGAAGTGTATGAGTCAGTGGTAACACTACTGCAGGATGATTGTGATGCAGTACGTAACAGTGTTGCATATGGTGTCCAAAAATTGTTGGTAGACCAGCAGCACCAATCACAGTGTTCTTTACAGTCTACAAGAATCTTGTCCAAAGTCTGTGATGTAATTGGTAAGTTTTAAGGTATAAAAGGAAGTAAATGAATTATAAATGAGTTATGTAGGACTTTTAGGATAGCTAGGCATCTAGTGTATACTACCTGTTACAAGTATTTGATCAGCCAGCTTATGATGGCTATGTATGCCTGCAGGTTTCTAGCAGAAACAGTCTGGCTGACCAGGCAGTCAACAAGAATGTCTCCCCTCAGGCCTGGCTGAGACAGTGAGGCAGAAAAATCATCAAGTTACATTGCAAGCAGTGACAACCAGTATCATTATCTCTTGATTTCACAGTCTCATTACCTGCTTTAAATAGCCTAAGTGTAGCATACTTGTTTCTGAAGCAGACAGATATGTATGCATCATTAACAGAAGAATTCAAGGGAAACTGCTCTGTTTTTTTCCCTCTCATGAAGGTCACCAGTACATGATATATTCGATACCTCAACTTGGCTTGCATCAAACAATGAAAATGCTAAATAAAGTTGCGAGTTGTCTAACAAAAATTCAAAAGTTTTGCCAGAATACAACTAGCAGATAACTTTGAAGAAAGTAGAGGAATGCAAATAGGAATTAGCAGGTGCAGTGTCAGTCAAAAGGAAATGTGTTGAGTACAATATGCATGGGGAAAGTAACATGATACGAACAGTCACTCGGTCAATTTTTACTTCTGGATACAAATGAAATTTCAGGATGCGAACTTCCCTCTCAAGGAAGGTTCCTTGGTGAAGGGCTCTTGATCTAGGGAATTGGATCTGTGCTCCAGTTCTCTAAATTAATAATAATAATTATTATTATTATAATACGTATGTACTACTACTAATAATATTTATTATAATAATATGTATATACTAAAAATAATAATAATAATTATACCAATAATAATAATAATACAATATAATAGTAATAATAATAATAATATGTAATAACAGTATAGAGAAACTTTAGAAGGCTGCCAGTAGTTGGTGCCACTATCAACAAAACATTGGTAACTACATGTGTACCTTGGCCTGGGAGGAGATATTGTCATGATTTCCTTCCATTTTCTGCAGTTATGTTGCCAAAATTCTTGTTTCTAACCATGGGTCATAAGAAAGTAAGTGCAAAGAACAGTACTGATAAGAAAAAGAGGATGAATCATCTATGGAATTAAAGCATGAAATCATAGATAAACACAAGGTAGGTGTGGTAAGGCAGTACCAGTGTAATACTTCTACGATATGTATGATACTAATTATGAGCGTAGCAAGTAAATCAGTGAAAAGTAAAGTGAACAAAAAATAAAAAAACAATTGTAGCAGTTAAGTTTAGCAATAAAGTGTATCAAGTATATTAAGCGATTAATAGAACAAGGATGACATGAAACTAACTTCCACCACTCTCAAGCTCTGCTAGCATCTGCTCCAAGGTAAGTGTGTACTATATTATATAATATAGTAAGTGTGTACTATATTATACTACAATATAGTACACACTTACCTTGGAGCAGATGCTAGCAGAGCTTGAGAGTGGTGGAAGTTAGTTTCATGTCATCCTTGTTCTATTAATCGCTTAATATACTTGATACACTTTATTGCTGAACTTAACTGCTACAATAAGATAGATAGCTATCTGGATAGGCTAGAAAATCCCACACTTTGTAAATGGTCCAAGTCGGACTGAAACATCGTCGTAAGCTTCTCTCTTTTATGTGCGGGTTATTTGTGTATTGTGTAATATTTTACTCCTTGGAGATTTTAATCTCCCTCATGTAGTAGTAGGCTGGTAGACAGCAACCACCCTGGGAGGTACTGCCGTCCTGCCAAGTGAGTATAAAACGAAAGCCTGTAATTGTTTTACATGATGATAGGATTGCTGGTGTCTTTTGTCTGTCTCATAAATATGCAAGATTACAGGTACGTCTTGCTACTTCTACTTACACATAGATCACACTACGCATACATGTACACGTTTATTTATACACACTCATCTGAGTTTTCTTTCATTTTATCTTAATAGTTCTTGTTCTTATTATTTTTCCTTTTATATCCATGGGGAAGTGGAATAAGAATCTTTCCTCCGTAAACCATGCATGTTGTAAAAGTCAACTAAAATGCTGGGAACAGTGGGCTAGTAACCCCTATTCCTGTAATAATTACTAAAAAGAATAAGAAGAAGAAATTTGTCAAAGTGGGATGTCTGAATATGCGTGGATGTTGTGTGAATGATAAGACAGAGATGATTGTGGATGTTATGAATGAGAAGAAGTTGGATGTCCTGGCTTTTTTAAGTGAAACAAAGCTGAAGGGGGTGGGAGAGTTTTGGTGGAGAGGAATAAATGGGATTAGGTCAGGGGTTTCAAATAGAGTTAGAGCTAAAGGAGGAGAAGCAATAATGTTGAAGGATAAGCTATGGCAGGAAAAGAGGGACTATAAATGTATTAATTCAAGGATTATTGGAGTAAAATAAAAGGTTTGGGATGTAAAAAAGTGGTTATAGTAAGGTTATGCCCGGGAGAAAGGGGAAGTGTAGAGGAGAGAGAGAGATTTTGGGAAATGTTGAGTGAATGCTTGGGAGTTTTGAACCAAATGTGAGAGTATTGGGGTTTGGGAATTTCAATGCTAAAGTGGGTAAAAATGTTGTGGAGGGGGAAAAGTAGGTAAATTTTGGGTGCCAGGGGTAAATGAAAAGGGGAGCTTTAATTGACTATGTGTAGAAAGAGGTTTTGGGAAAAAAGTAATACATTTTTTTTTTTTTTTAACAAGTCGGTGTCTCCCCCCCGAGGCAGGGTGACCCAAAAAAAAAAGAAAACCCAAAAAGAAAATATTTATCATCATTCAAAAAACTTTCACCCACTCCAAAATTATCACTGCTTTTGCAAGGTGCTCAAATACAACAGCTTAGAAAACAATTTTCGTTTTAAAAATACACAACATATCCCCAAATGCCAATATCCCCAAACCCTCCCTTTTAAAGTGCAGGGATTTACTTCCCCCTTTCCCGGGCTCAAATCCGACTATATGAAAAAAAAAGGTTTCCCCGAATCCTTCACTAAATATTACCCTGCTCACACTCCAACAGATCGTCAGGTCCCAAGTATCATTCGTCTCCATTCACTCCTATCTAACACGCTCATGCACGCTTGCTGGAAGTCCAAGCCCCCCGCCCACAAAACCTCCTTTACCCCCTCTTTCCAACCCTTTCGAGGATGACCCCTACCCCTCTTTCCTTCCCCTATAGATTTATATGCTTTCCATGTCATTCTACTTTGATCCATTCTCTCTAAATGACCAAACCACCTCAACGACCCCTCTCCTGCCCTCTGATTAATGCTTTTATTAACTCCACACCTTCTCCTAATTTCCACACTCCGAATTTTCTGCATAATATTTACACCACACATTGCCCTTAGACAAGACATCTCCACTGCCTCCAACCGTCTCCTCGCTGCTGCATTTACCACCCAAGTAATACATATTTTATGAAAAAGAGGATAAATAAATATACAAGGTATGATATAGCACGTAATGAAAGTAGTTTGTTAGATTATGTATTGGTGGATAAAAGGTTGATGGGTAGGCTCCAGGATGTACACACTTATAGAGGGGCAACTGATATATCGGATCATTATTTAGTTGTAGCTACAGTTAGAGTAAGAGGTAGATGGGACAAGAGGAAAATGGCAACAACAAGAGGGAGGTGAGAGTGTATAAACTAAGGGAGGAGGAAGTTCGGGTGAAATATAAGCAACTGTTGGCAGAAAGGTGGGCTGGTGCAAGTATGAGTAGCGGGGGGGGCGGGGGGTTGAACAGGGTTGGAATAGTATTAAAAATGCAGTATTAGAATGTGGAGCAGAAGTTTGTTTTTATAGGAGGGTGGGTGCAGGAGGAAAGAGGAGTGATTGGTGGAATGATGAAGTAAAGGGTGTGATAAAAGAGAAAAGGTAGCTTATGAGAGGTTTTTACAAAGGAGTGTTATAAGAAGATTAGAGTATATGGAGAGTAAAAGAAAGGTGAAGAGAGTGAGGGAGTGCAGAAGGAGAGCAGATGATAGAGTGGGAGAGGCACTGTCAAGAAATTTTAATGAAAATAAGAAAAAAATTTGGAGTGAGTTACACAAGTTAAGAAAGCCTAGGGAACGAATGGATTTGTCAGTTAAAAACAGAGTAGGGGAGTTAGTTGATGGAGAGATGGAGGTATTGGGTAGATGGCGAGAATATTTTGAGGAACTTTTAAATGTCAACGAAGAAAGGGAGGCAGTAATTTCATGCACTGGCCAGGGAGGTATACCATCTTTTAGGAGTGAAGAAGAGCAGGATGTGAGTGTGGGGGAGGTGCGTGAGGCATTATGTAGAATGAAAGGGGGTAAAGCAGCTGGATCTGACGGGTTCGTGACAGAAATTTTAAATGCAGGGGGATATATAGTGTTGGAGTGGTTGGTATTTTTGTTTAATAAATGTATGAAAGAGAGGAAGGTACCTAGGGATTGGCAGAGAGCATGTATAGTCCCTTTATATAAATGGAAGGGGGACAAAAGAGATTGTAAAAATTATAGAGGAATAAGTTTACTGAGTATACCAGGAAAAGTGTATGGTAGGGTTATTATTGAAAGAATTAGAGGTAAGACAGAATGTAGTATTGCAGATGGGCAAGGAGGTTTTAGAGTGGGTAAGGGATGTGTAGATCAAGTGTTTACATTAAAGCATATATGTGAACAGTACGTATTTAGATAAAGGTAGGGAAGTTTTTATTGCATTTATGGATTTAGAAAAGGCATATGACAGAGTGGATAGGGGAGCAATGTGGCAGATGTTGCAAGTACAGTGGACCCCTAGTTCCCGATGCTATCGGTATCCGATAAATCCAGTAGCCGATGCATTTGATCGAAAAAAATTTGCCTCACTTCCCGATACAAAACTCGGTATGCGATATGATTCGTACGAGACGTGTCCAGTGTTTACAAGCCAGCCAGTGTGCGCGCATCTAAGGATACATTCGGTACATTCTCTATTATCCATATTATCACTGTTTTTGG